AAAAAAAAGAAAAACAAAGAAACTTAACATAATGCAAGAAAATATAATATATGACTACGTAAACTACAAAATAATCATTTTCTTTATTCTAATCCTCTCATTTTCTTTTTTTTCATGTCTACTTTGTTGACATATGATCGTCAGATGAACATTTTATAGGCACAAAACACTGGTACTAGTTTAGCTTCATACAATTTTTTTTTCATTATGTAATTGATGTTTCGTGTATACTCTGTTCTCTGTTTATCTCACTATTCATCATAATAAACATGAGTTCATCTATTGTACAATACAAACTGAATATGATATACGATAATAATAGTCATTACAATTTACTATTGAATTATAAATATTATTTTTACTTACCTATTCTCATTTACTTCATTGTTACGATAATAATATGATTTTTATTAGTTTCTCAAGATAGTTGATGAGTATGACAAAATACAACGGGTATTTGTCTATATGTTCGATCAATAAAGAATGTTGCTTCTTCTAATCGTGCATTCTATCTATCTATCAATCATTTTCTTGTACAACCACCGTTTATGAGAGAACGACAAATGTCTATACCATTTGACTGACAAGCATAACTATTTTCTATTTTTCTCTCTTTTTTTCTATCATTTATTATTTCTTTGATAGAACAAGGACAGAGATATAAAATGTATGTTTCGATCCTCTATTATCAACTAAGGGTGCGTGTGCATTTCTCATAAAAAAAAACGTCATGTCTATGTAATTATTGTATTTTATCTTGTCTTTTATAATTTATCTGGATCAGTATAATATCAACTTATCATTCTTTAGTCGACAGTGAACATGATAAGCATATTTCATCAATAATCATAGCTACCTTTTTTTTATAATAAAGACATATGGTTATTTATACAATAAAATATCTTCATTCAATTCTTTTCTTTTTTTTTGTAACATCAATTTCTCTTTTTTGTCTCGTGATAAAAAAAAATTATCCACTTACGAATTGGTTCAAGGCTAGTCAATGACGATGCTCGTTGAAACATAGAAAGAAATAGTCATCTATCGTTCATCGCACAAGTGTCCATTGCTTGACCTCGTAGAATAGTAATCATTGCTCATAGACATATGTCAAGCGAACTGGATAGGACATAGCCACCGACTGTGCATTCTACTAATCACTATAACGAATTGAACAAAAAGAATAAGCATGCACGAACATGAATTCAATAGAAAAGGAAAGAAGAAAAGAAGCGTATACTTGTATTGACGATTAGATTTGACTATAGACCATTGATATTTATTGTTTAAATGAGAAAAATATGCTTCAATGATAACACAACAAGCATGAAAATGCATTTACATAATAAAAAAAATAATATTTATTTACTAATAAAATCAAATAAATAATCATAGATATACTCTGATTATGCCATTCGAAGGATAGTACATAATGAAAAGCGAGAATATATATGGTATGCCAAGGTCAACTGTATGTGTTCAACAGCTGTGTGATTGAAGAGAAAAAAAAAGACTTAGTTGAGCTAATCAAATTGTCTTGTTTCTTCTCATTAGTATGACTTCAACATCATTATAATATTCTTTGGTGATACAAAAAAATTTTAGTAGTTCTAGATCAGTACATGTTTGGGCTAGTAGTTAATTAACACTACATTATTTGTATGTATCATATATCAAATAAAAGGCAGTTGTTGATTATATGTCGATAGATATTGACAACTTATTCACAGAAAATGAGATATTACAATGACATCCTAGATTATATTTCGAAAGAGTGATGGATAACTTGTTTTCGCAATAAACAACAAGAAAGAAAATCTTTTTTTTATGGCTAATTCACAAAACAATATCAAAACCTATATAAGAAATCCAATTAGTTTGTTTGCCATTTTATTAACTATAGCAAACTTTTTCATTGTGCTTGAGTGTTTGCTTGAAAGTGTTAGGTAAACAATGTGTATGTATCTATGTCAATAGTTTCATTTGACAGATGAAGCTCAGATTACTAATACAAAAAAAAAAGTAATATGGATAGTTGTTATTATATTATCATGTCAAAGTAATTATTATTATCAACATAGTATATGATGCATTTCTCGTCAAATTATCAAGTAATACATATGATCTTTTGTTAGTTACATTATTCATTTGTATAACAAGCCTTTCTTGTCGATGTATTTATGACAAAATAAATGTAACATCGGATAGTTTGTAAATATCTTAGCAAAGATAAATCATAAAGTCTTGAAGCTTTTTTTTTTAAAAAGATTCATCATGAAATTCTCTACAATAGAAGATTCTTTCAACTTGTAATAATGGATTTATCAATTTTTAATTCTTTCTCGAGATTTTTAAACATCAAGAGGATCATATTGTTCGTATTACGCTATTCAACAATGAGTTTTTGTACAATACACTTGATTTAAATAGTAAATTTGTGTTTTCTGGAGCGTTTGCATTATTGTTAAAGTATTTAAGAAATAAAAGCATCTAATAGAACTTTTAATCAAATACTATAGCATTATGGACACCGGTATTTTCATATGTAAAGAACTACAAAAAAAAAACATAAACTTTAAAAAAGATTAATTCGATTTTGAAGTATTGGACGGAGATGTAAAGATTTCTTTTTGAAGTCATTCTAATTCGATAAATCAAATATCAAATTGTATTCCATTGAATTCTTATTGTTTCTCGATACGTTTGAATCAATATCAAGACAAATTGTATCGCTTTAGATTGAAATCCAACTTGAACTCAAACTATGTATTGAGAACTGTTGATTGCTTCTTTCTATCGTTATTGCAAGCGATATCGGATTCCGAATTGTTATCAGAGAGAAGAAATTGAAATAATACGAGCAATTATAAATCTCATTTTGATGTTCGGTAGACACCCGTAGTCTTTCCACATTCTAGTGTATTAATCAAACCATATTGATCATAACCTGGTATAATTAATACTGTCGTTTCTATCAAATGTATACTCTCGGATCTCATTTGAATAGTATTTTCCGACACTATTACTACCAATCATTATTGAACTACTATTACTTCTCATTGTTGTATTTCAAATACCGTAAATACAACAATGATTATGCTTATGGCAAGAATTACAAATACACGTAGAAAATAAATGTTAATGAAAACAAAAATATTTAATCTCTCTTTCTTCTTCCATCTTCTGGTAATGTTCGTTGCTTGAAATATATCACAATCATGTTCATCATCATAACAAATTCCTTTAGAAAACAATAAGTTAAAATCAATTTATACTTACATTATATGTGTATACTTTTGATGATCTCTGTACTCTTGTTTTAGCTTTAGTCATGAAAAAAAAATCGTTTTATTGTAATGAATCTTATGTTGAATTATAATGTAACCATTGATGTTTATTGATTTTTACTCAATTGTAATACAACCGATGAAAGTGATTTTGAAATAGAGACTAAATAGAACATATGTTTAAATATTAGTGAACGACAAAAAAGTATCTAAACTATAATCATTTTGTCTTATAGTTTGAACATAAATAGAGCATGTTGAAGACTGATCTCAAGAACTGGTTAGGACTTGATCAGTCTTCACGTGGAGAAGCTAGAAAAATCAATATAGATTTATTTTTCTTCAGACACGGATATCTCAACATAGAAAATAAATCTTATGATGTCAGACCTCTTATTCGATAGCTCAATTCTGCCGTTATCATCAATAAAAATTCTATGTCGAACGGTTTGAGTTCGCTTGATCTACAAAGAAGTCTTTGGATAATCTCTACATGAGAGTTGGTTGAAATCGCTGAAAAATGACCGATATCTCCGAATCATTTCAACCATTGGCCTCGAAATTTTCTCCAGTGAGTCTCCTGCTCTAATCAAGTTTCCACTCAAAATTTGACGATCGTAGCTATGGATAGAGAAAAGATCCATGCTGAAACCATTCCAGACAGTGGAGGCTTTTCCGCACCTCAAGGTTACACAGTAGATTAAAGTACGCTATTTGTGACAGAATATAGACATGCAAATCTTGATTTGTTAATTAGAAAATGGAGGTTAACGGATTTAAATAGTGGAAAATGAGAAAAGTGTCAAAAAAGCCTTTTTTTGAGTCCTGGGGAAAAAACCAGTGTTTTCATGGGAAATTCTTTGCATTAAGGCCTACCAATCTTGGATTGCTGCTTATGATCAAGTTTTATCGAACTCTATTTGTAGTCAAAATATCAACTAAAAGTATTGGTATTTGTGTTCGTATGCAATCTGATACCATTGTAAATAGTTGTTTTTTTTCTGAATATGCTAAGACGAATTGTTTTATTGTTTTTCTAACAATGGAAGGATGTGAATTGTAACTCAAGAATATTGAACATATTAAAGCCAAGTTAAAGGTCTCACCGACAAACTAATTATAACATCCACAGAGTGAGCTATTCGAATTCTAAAGTATTTACAATCTATGTTATGTACCAACAATTGAATATCTCAACAAGGTTTTATTTTTCTCTTTTCCGCTATGGTTGGATAAAAGTCATCGAGTCATATAAGAGAAAGAAATTTTACGAAAGTCAGAATATCGGATCTATTTTCTCTTGTATTTGACAATAATGGTATCATGAATTTTTCTCTTAAAATCTTTTTCTTTGTATTTGAAACATACTTTTTCATATGTAACTCGATGAGCTTTATCCAATGATGACAGAGAAAAGTCCAGCTGAAATTTTAAATTTCTTGCACATTACACGTAGAATTTAACAAGCTACAGTGAACACATTCATTTAGAGCACAGTTTGATTTTTGTATTCGCATCCATTTTCTAGACATCCTACATTACGAATTTTCATTAGTATCTAAATTTCACGATATTTTTTGACCATTAAGAATTTTACACTGTTTTTGTTCATAACTATGTACATATTTGAATATATTTGGAATTAGAATCGAACGAATTCTGAACAAAATATAGTATTTAGTTAATCAAAAGTTTAACTTGGAAAATTTCTCAGATTAAAATTTTTTTTCATTGGATCCTAGTGAAAAATACACCATTTGATGCAACTGTCAGCTTCAACAATAAAAGATTCCGTAACGGCTGTTATTTGCTGAATAGCTCAGTTCGAATTAAAGGGAAAATTAATGAAATTTTCACTGGTAGTAGATCGAAATAGTCTCTATCCATAATAAAAGATTTAAAAAACTTGCTTTTGCCATTGATAAGAGATAGATATCACAATGTAAAAAAATCAAATTTCCTAACACTTGGCCGCGGTAATATGTAAGACAATACACATGCCGACCACAGATCAGACTTGTCATTACGAAAATTTTAAGACTAGATTATCAATGAATCAATTATGTTTTAGAAATGGAATTGGATGTTCAACTTTTACAAAAAAGAAAGTTGCTATTAACCGACTAGGTTTAAGAGGACCTCCATTTCCAAGATTTCTTGGAAACAACTCTACGAAAAATTATGAAACTTTCAAGGCAAATAAGTCTCGATAAGTAGAGCAAAAGTTCTTATAGACTCAAAATTCACAGATGCTTTCTTCAGGGAGATATGAGAGTTGACAAGACAAAAAATGAGCAGAAGCTTTTTTCTCGCAAAACTTCATACTTCATTTTTTATGACAACTACGATCAAATTGAAATGCATGTTTCTTTTTCTTTCAAAAATATCGTACCGAGAGCTCAGAAAAAGCAAAATATTGTAAGTACCATCAAAAAACGTGTTTTTTTTTTCAATGATACTAATTTTTTAAAGGCTGCTGAATTTCTTGAGAACAACTTTTTGAAGAGAAAAAAAAACACGCGTCTCAATTTGACCAAAGTAATCATAAAAAACATGACGACTCGTGCTCTCGCCACCTTTGGGATGAAAAATAATCATTATCATAATGAAAATTTTACATACAAAGAATAATCACAGCGCGATTTGTTTTTTGCTAAAGATTTCCAGAGTTAGATTAATCAAAGTATTAATTAACAACGGAGAGCTTTCATTCATATGACATCTGACAAAGGACAATTCAAAGCTATACCAAAAATCGAAAAAATTTTGATATTACTAACATCCGGAAAGGGACGCGGCGAATCTCCTTAATTACGATGCAATGATGATATTTAGATTATTATCATATAACGTTCAATAGAGTGATACATCCACAAATTAATATTTAATTATGCTTTTGGCAGCTTTTGTAAATAACACAGAATGATTGATGTCACATGAAGACTTCGATGTAAAGAATGAGGATGAAGGTCAGCGAAGAACATAGCATTTTCTTAGATGACTTATGCCCTGTTGGATATATTGCGATCAGATGAGAAATTGTAAATATGTTTGATATTACTTAGATATTTGTTCAATTATGTGTGTATATAGCATTTTTTTCAACATGTAAGATTACGCAAGGAAATACTCAAACAATTCTTAAAAATACATAGAGATTCTACAATATTTTGTTTTCCTTTTATTATTTCCCATTCGATTCAATGTTATTGACTTGTATATGTAATCATTCAATTAAACATCAATGAGCTTTTTTATTCTGTTTTACTATGTCATATATGAATTATGATTATATAAGTCTTCAATAGTAGATGAAATGCTCTTGATTAATATTAAGATTATAGTTAAGAGAAGTTTTTCGTGTTATACTAATTACTTTTACTTGTAAGATATTGTCTAAACTAGCGGCATCTATGATATAATATTAAATAAAAAGAAAGAATACTTCATTCATTGATTATTATCGAAGTTTCTTCCAATAATTATTTAATATAAATAAGTTCGTTCATTTATAAATATTTTCAATTATTATAAATGATTTCATATTATTTTCGTCTTAATCATAATTTAAAATATTTCTTTACTGCAACAATAACTGCTTTTTTAACATCAACTTGTGTTTCATTAGAAAAAAATAATATTCTACCAATTTATTATGAATCTAAAATTGGATTAAAATTTCCCGAATCAATTATTGATCTTGCATGTCTAGCAAATACTTTTCCATCACAATTTAAACAACAACAAGATGAAAACAATATATGTTTTTCTCATATATTAAAGAATTATATAGAAATAAAACAAATTCATAATTTATCATACGATAATATTGATCAATCATTTATTTCAAATACATATCCATCTTTAGGAATTAAAGGATTACATTTAAAAATATATGAAAAAAAGGTATTTATAAAAAACAATCAAATTTTAATTTGATCTAATCTTTCTAAGTAGGACATTGATCAAGATAATAATCAATATGTATTTATTGTTATACGTCATCAAGAACATGATTCTATTTTAACAGATGAAATGAATGAAATGATGAGTTTATTTGGATCAGCAGCAACAGTTGATCGTCAACAAGGTAATAAAGAATTATTTGGTACATCAGTTGTTTCATCAATGATTCGTTTTATACGTCAACAACTTGGTCTTGATTATTTACCACAAGCTATTTCAATGTTTAATAAAATTCAATTACATTATAAAAATAAACATAATATTAAATATATATTCAGTGGTTTTAGTGCAGGTGGTTTATATGCTATTGCATTAGCATTATATTTTAAATGGCCAGCAATTACATTTTCTTCGACAGGCGTTGATGATATAATTAATATTTATTATTCAAATTTATTTACAGATACATATAAACAATCAACAATACCACCTATATTTAATTTTGCACATCAATTAGATAATACTCTACAATTAGATTGTCAATTAGGTACTGTATGTTTATTTAAACCTGAAAATCTTGAAAAACAACAAAAGTTAACTGAAAAGGAACTTGAATTACTTCATTTAAGTACGATATTTGGTCAATCTGGCCCAGATATAATACAATGGCTTCGTCGACCAGAAAGATGGATGTGTACGACATCTGATAATTATAATTTATTATATGGTAGTTGTAAACGAGAACGATTGAGATGGAAAGATAGAATGAAATTAAATTCTAATAATGAACAAACGATTAAACAAGATTTGTGAATATTTAATTTCATATTTTAATAAATTTTATCTACAACAACAAATTATTTTTATAATTTCGATATCATAAATGATGTGATGAAATGGTATACTAATAAGTTCTAATGAGTTTTTCTTTGCATATAACCATATGTGACCTTCATAAGACACAACTTCGACATGTGTGTGTGTGTGTGTGTGTGTGTGTGTTTGTTTTTTTCGCTTCAATGAACTCGTGTTTATTTAGGAAAACGAATTTGTTTGCTAGTATATCTTTCAAAAAATGACATAGTTATTATTCAAAAATAGCCTCCATTAATTTTGGTTATCTTATTCAAAAAAGATCGTAGCATAAACATATTCACAACAGGCACAAAAATGTGTATACAATCGTTTGACCTTGTCAAAGATGAATATCATTATGTAGACACACGTTCTATTCCTATATATAAGAAAATGGGTTAGTTAATATCCCATTCATGTTAAGCGATAAGCAGCAGTAACAGAAGAAGAAGACGAAGAAGAAGGAAATATAGAAAATACTTTTTCTCTAACAAGCATTAGATATCCGAAGAAAAAGAAAAAAAAAAGAAGGCTAAAGCTTATAGATGTTTGTATCACTCATGTCTTTTTCTTTCTTTCTTTTCTTTTTCTACATTTAGTTGATGAATCTTCTCATAACGAGCAAATAAACACGTACAATATAATGTTTCTTCTTCTATGATTCATTATTAATCATTTCAGGAAACTTTATATCTTTTTTTTTTGTTTCGTTGTCGATAGAATTCAATTATGGTATTACGTGTCTATTTTATTTCAACAACAGGTCGTCGAGATATACGTAAAGGACAAATTCATGTATTTTCTGTACTTAGTTCATGGAAATTTCCCTATCAAGCAATTGATGTAGCTGCACCAGAAAATGAAAATGATCGAAATTTTGTTATTGATACTGGTAAAAAATCTGAAGATGGTAAAGTTGTTTTACCACAAATATTTCAAGAAGAAAAATGTTGTGGTGATTATTTGGATTTTTTAAATGCAATTGAAGATGAAAAATTACAATTATTTCTTCAAGAATTAAATAAACAAGAATTTAATATTATTAAACAAAAAGAAAAAACAATGATTGATGAAACTACAACGAAAGGTAAATTTATTCTTTTAAGAATTAAAATTCAAAGTAGAAGATTTGATCAGATTAGAATAAAAAAGAAAAAAAATTAATTATTTACTTTTGATATTGATATAAGAGGATTTTTTTTCATTCAATACATAATGGAAACTACGATTTACTGTCCATTGATTACATCATAAATATATTCTAATTAGTGTTTTTCTTATCTGGGGATTTATTTTCCACGGATTATTTGGAAGAAGAGAGAGTGTGGGTACGAGTGTGTATCTGGATCTTTTCTACACCCACACCCATATAACGACTGTCGGAATGATTACTTCTCTTCTTCCAAATTATCGACGGAAAGCAAATCCGCAGACAGTAAATTGTGCACACGAGAGATTACAAATGTATGCAAAAGCTGTCGGGCGATTTTCACCGCTGAAAAGAGAAGACTTGCAAGCATCGAATCATAGAAGAAACATAATATTTAAAGACGTTTTTAGGAGGATTCTGAACAACCAAGATTTTTGAAGTTCCCATAAAACTTTTAATTTTGAGCATACAAGTGAGTTTAATCTTGATTTTTCATAAATCTCACAAAAAATTATGAATATTATGTTTCGATACTCTGAAGTCTTCTCTTTTCTACAGTGAAAACTGCAACTCTTTTTCTTGTTTCTATCAAAAGTTATTCACAATCAAAAGGTGCCCGATAACTTTTGAGTCCATCTGTTCATTGAAATTTGGATATGTTCGAGGATGAACTTATATATTACAGTGGCTCTCAAAATTATTCGACTAGATTTATTTTCAATTTTTTTATTTTGACTGCCAGGAATTCAAATAGTAATTTGAGTAGAGAATTTTAGTTCTAACAAGAATTTTTAAAGATCGAGATACATCAACCTTACGGAAGGTACTAAATTGGTGTTTTCATAAGAAAAAAAACCGACGTTAAGGTTAATGTATCTCGGTCAAAAGCTCGAAGACGTTTCATTTTGTAAAGAGAACCTGGAAAATTTCCGTTTGGATTTTCTAGAGACCCTATCTTTAA